TTACTTAAGATGGTTTTGAAATAAGAACCGACTATGAATACCGGCCTAAGACCGGACTATGAATTCCGACCTTTGACACGTTCTGTGCATATATGGCGTTGGAACAAATCGCCTTCCATATTGGAAAATCATAGCAAAGAAAACAAGGTTGTGTTCCGATCAGTGTTGTTAGGCGAGTCACCTTTTGACGCATGCGCGTTTGGACATGGCATCAGTGCTGTATTAGGCCGGTATTCATAATCAGATCTTATATTCAAGATCGTCTTAAGTTCAGCCTTGAGGTGTCACGATCAGAGGGCCGCATTAGCGTCTTAAGACGTTACTTAAGACGGTCTTGAAATAAGAATCGACTATGAATACCGGCCTTAATGTCGAAATGTCGGTATGTAGAATGGCCTTTAGAATTGACTATGAATACCGCCTATAGTCGATTACCCCAGATCTACAATAGAGTTTTAAGCCTTAAGCCATAAGAAATGGACGAATCATAGTCGATTATTCCCCTCGAATTCGACTATAATTGGTCAATTTCTTACGACTTAAGGCTTAAAACACCTATTGTAGATCCGGAGTAAAGCCTTGTGTCCATGATACTAGAAATCGGTCCGAGACCTCGGATGAAAAAAGAATTGACCAATCGCAATGGTCATGTGATCAAAATGTTCAAATGTGATTTGTCGATTTTTTCTCTGTCCAAGATCTCGGACCGATTTCTAGCATCGTGGACATCGGGCTTTAAGCCTTGTGTCCACGATGCTAGAAATTGGTCCGAGATCTCGGAGAGAGAAAGAATTAACCAATCACATTTAAACAATTTAGTCACATGATCAATGCGATTGGTCAATTCTTTCTTCATCCGAGATCTCGGACGGATTTCTAGCATCGTGGACACTGGGCTTTACACCATGATTGCAGCTAAATCCCGGACATGGCCGCTCTCAGGCTTTTCTTTGTTCGAATGAATATCATACAAGTTGTAAGTCAGTGCTGATTTTAGTATTTACGTCTGTTGAAATTCGGTTAATGTGCGATCAACGAGCAATTGACGAGGTGGGACGAGATTTATCTCGATAATCATTGTAAACTGTTTACGAAGAACAATAACAAAATACCGTAAGAATGAAGGCATCGCTGGATCCGATATATGTGCAGGTATAGCATATTGTTTTGTAGTAGTAAGAATTGCACACATGATTTATGTAGATCGTCGGTATAACCGGCGAACAAGTTGTATTAAAAATCGTCTTTGGAAGCTGCACAATCACTTAAAAAATTTATTTTAAGTCTTTTTACTCGGTTCCTCACGGGACACCACTCCCAACAATTCTATGAAGATTCGACAGATATGGTCTTGCACGAGTAACGTTGACCTTTAAAATATGTGTATAATACTGTAGCTCAATTAAATTATACATATGTTCGTGCATCAATTTGTTTGACATTTCGCTTTTATATGATCTAAAAGAAGCGTAAAACAAGCAGAACAATTTTTTGTGTTAAATTCTATGATATTTTCGTTATGTTAAAATAGCTCTCAAAAAATGTGGAACAAATAATTAAGTAACTTTTACTGTATATCATGCGACGTTGGTTCTCACCATAAGAACTGTTTTTTTTTAAATTTTGTAATTTATATTTATACATGAAATCATGCAAAATTGTGTTCAAACGGTTCAAACAAGTTTTTTTTTATTTTATCTTATCAATAAATTGTATTTAATATGTATTAAAAAATATTTAATTTGCATGTTATAAAATCTTTGGAAGAAGTAGTAAAATAGTGTAAATAGTGCATTTAGCCATTCTTAATTTATGTATAATTTCAAACATTCATTTATTGACTTTAAATTATTCTTGTTTAAAAATTATTGATCGGATACAATTTTGCCAAAGAAAAAGCATTGCTTCTTCTGATACAGAAGAATTATATCATATATTTCTCGATATTTGATTTGTATATTTATTATTACTCCTATTTTCAGGAATTTTTATTTAAACAGTCAAATACGTTTCAAGTATTTGATTTGAAGACTCCTGCATATATTCCTGCTACTTGCAATCTTCTTGTGGCTGACAAGAAACGAGGACTACTTTACATAGGACATGATGATAGAGTTACTGTCTTAAAGCCAGCAGAGGAGAACAGTGCAGAATGGAAGATAGAACTTCAATTACCAGGCGTTATATCAAAGATTGCAATTAATTGTGATTATAATTATGTTGCTATAGGCATAGCATTGAAGCCTACAGTATTGATATATGATGCCCATTCACTAGCTAGAAATGTATGCACGTAGCATATTTTTGCAGAAGTCTTAAAAACACATTTCGACGTTTTATCCAATACTATAGAAATCCAGAAGTTATATATTTATTATTAATTAATGCATTAATTTTCAGAGTCTCAACCTATTACTTGAAATAACACCATCGAACAAGCTAGATAGCTACATAACAGACATACGATGGAATCCTACCGTACCTGCAATGCTTTGCACTGTTACTAGTGACTGTACTATTGGTAGCTTTCAACTGAAGATAGAAGAAGAAAATCGTGTACCAAAAATATCTGTACTTTCTAAAGTGTCAAACGAGCCACAGGCTTTATGTGCAGCCTGGAGTCCCAAAGGCAAACAAATAGCAGTGGGTTGCAAGAATGGAGACATTGTACAACTGAAACCAGATACTTTGAAGGTTGCTAGAACTATCATGGGTCCTTCACCATCTATGGGAGAAGCGATTAACATCCTATGGCTCAGCAATTATCAATTTTGTGCCGCATATCTGAGCAACGAGCGGCATATAAATGTTCTCATCGTTGACGCACCGAAAGGAGAAACAAATGCTATTTTTACATGTTATGAAGATATTACATACGGTTTTCCCGAAGCTGAAGGAGAGGACAGCGTTCCACGCTATTATTTTGAACATGTACCGGAATGGGGACTTATCATAGCGGGTAGTAGCACCAGCAGTGAAATAGCTGTGCTAGGCACTACAGATGGTGGCGCGAATTGGAATCAATGGCAATTAGTCGACAGTGGTAGGGCTCAATTGCCGCTGATGAGAACTACGGAAATTTATCCCTTGGGTCTAGCCGTAGACAAGTCTCCAACTACCAAGTTACCATGGGGCACGGATTCGACATTGCCATATCCAGTTCCTGTTTTACATATTCTTGGAACGTCCGGGAAATTATGCAGCTTCCACATGGTCAATCTGGCATCCAACTGCCCTATCATTAATGTTCCTCCTACGGAAATTATCACGCCTCCAGCACCGTCACAGTCTAATACTTCACCTATAGAAATATCGTTTTCTATGAATGCTGCGATTACCAGCACACCTCGTTCGAAACAACCGGAGATGGTACTGGAACGCTCAAAGCCTCCTCCGATGACAAATATATTTGGCGACTCTCTGAAAGCAGCGGGATTCTTTCAACCACCTGTGGAGCAACCAATGGAACAGCCGAAACCGCAAGAAGAAAAAGCTGCGCCGCAGATGATTGTAAAATCAATTATGCCTAAGGAACCACCAGTGTCAGAACCTATAAAGACGGAAACCAAGTCAGTTTTAGACAAAGAAGCAAGCTCGCCACAAGTAGCGGAACAGAAAGCTTGTATAGACGATAACATACGAATGCAAGCTTATATGCAGGAGCAGGTATTATTTGAGAAAGAACTGCGAAGTAGGCTGGAACCACAGGTGTGGGAATGTGGTACAGACTTGGAAAAGAAACAGCTTGGAGAGACGTCCGTCGTCATAGAACAGTTTTTGAGAGATTTAAAGGACACGACTAACAGTCTGTCCAGCGATATAGCATATTTAAAGGCTTTGTTGCTTCAATCATTTGCATGGGTTGAAGAAACTAAATCGAAAAATGCGGCCAGTGTTGATATCACCACTAGAAACTGCAGCGAAAACAGCAAAATAGCGGATCTGCAACGATGGTACTACTACACGCAAACACAACTGAATCAAGTTAGTAAAATCTTGGATCTAGAATGGTCGGATCACAAGGCGCACGTAAAGTCGAAGATGAAAATTCCTAACTTGGAGTACGTGTATCAGAATCTTCTAATGCATAATAAGATTATCGCAAAAGAAAAAGAGAAGCTTGAGCAAATTTCGCGACGGTGGAAGTCTCTCAATCGCTCATTGGCAATTAGTGGTGTGTCCAATCTTAATCGCTCAATGGCGAGTCTGCATGTGAGTTCGCCAAAATCGCCAGCTTCAATTATTCGGGGAAAAACCGACGTTATAGACGCCCGTTGCAAAACTATCGCTTCGAAAACTTTGAGTTTTACACATGAAAAGCAGCTCAAGTTAAGGACATTGCTCAAGGAATCATCTCCAAGAATCATCAAGCCGGTCAATCCATCACCGATTCAGGATCGTTTGAAGGCTACGTTGTCTTCCCTGGCGTCTCTCAGTCCTGTGATCAATGAGACTAAGACCAAACCCGAGCCACCGATTGTTAAACAGAATATCACTGTCAAACAGCCGATCGAGAAACAGTTGAAATCGCAAAGTCCCCTCGCTTCGTTGAACAGTATCGTTGCGAGAATCGGTTCATCCGACACGAATGGCATCCTTGCGCAAAATAAGGCCCAACAGAAGCTGCTTCCAACGACTGTTTCTTTCTCCAGTGCAGTTGCTTCTACCAAGCAAGTGGACAAAAAGCCTGTCATGCCAGCAGCTCTTGCAGTGTCCCAATCTAAACCGAAACAGGATCTGAACGTTAACTTCCCAACATCTATCACGTTTGGAATGTCGGCGCCAAAATCTCAAGATATTTTCTTTTCAAAATCTCTCACAGATGTAACTGCCAGGAACAATAAGGAATTGGCGAGCAGCGATAGCGTTCCTAAAGCTCCGGAATCCGCTTTATTCTCGACCGGATTGTTAAAAGATGTGTTATCAACAGAATATTCATTAACGGAAACCACTCGTATGGGAATCCCACGTAATCTTTCATTGCTTTCTGTGATGCCAGCTGTAAAAACGGACGCTGCTGTCACATTCAGTTTTGCTACACCTAACATGGCTCCGCCTGTTGTAAAAAGTTCGTCCTCTGGTACTGCGCTCGATATGATGTCCTTCGCTTATTCGAAATCCATACCCCACGCTCCTACTGTAGAACCCACGATAACAGTTCAAACAATACCAATGCAAGCACCGATAGAACTGTCGACTTTATCCTTGGGATCACCTAGCACGTTGACTCTTCATCAGGCTAATCATCCAAGTAACAGCGCGGACGGAAAGGTAAATGCGATCACGACTTCCAATAGCTTCGCTGCAGCTGCACCTGTTATTACAGCACAGACTTCCGCGACGACTGCCATTGTTACATCCGTTATGACTCTTGGCGGAGTTACCATTAGCGTTGTAGACGCGAACGCCGTTCGTAGATCAATGACGGAGATGCCATCCACCAGTTCGGTCGTCATCGAGAAAGTCACTACGCCTGAAGTGAAAACACCCACTTTTGGTACTGTAGCTGCCCAGATTCCGATTTCGTTAGCCGCAGCACCAATATTTGGCGGTCAGACCATCATAAAAAATGCAGCGACAGTATCAGAGACGATCACACTGCCCGTTACAACTACTTTCGGCGCAGTTTCTTTCCCATCGATTACATCTACTTTCGGAACATCAATCTTGGCGCCGACTACCACGTCGGTATTTAGCGGATTCGCAAATACATCAGCGGGTGTTACTACCAGCTCTTCGGCGATGCCTGCGAGTAGCACCGTGTCTCCTTTCCAGACTTCCTTAAGTAAATCAACCTTCGGTGAGACCACCACTACTAGTATGCCAGCCGCAAGTTTTGGGATCAGCTCTGCCAATGTCACCTCCGCAGGCACAATCTCATTCGGTATGCCTGCGACGACAACAGCAACTTCGATCACGCCAGCGTTCGGTAAGAGCCCGATAGCATCTCCGGTATCAAACGCGCAGTTCCCAGGTGTACAGACGCCCGCGTCGACGGCGAATATCTTTGGAAAGCCGATAATCAGTCCTGCATCAACACCGTTTGGCAATACTTCGAGCTCCGTATTCTCCAATACGCCCGCTACCTCCTCGAACACCTCTATATTTGGAGGTAATAACATGAATTCTATCTTCGCGACGACTTCCTCAAGTGGAAATATCTTCGGAGGTAATACAACAGGATTCGGTACGGCCTCACCAGGATCTATATTTGAGACCAGTGCCTCGAAACCCGGTATTATATTTGGTGGAGCGACAAATGCACCTGCTTCTCCATTTGGTGGTACAAGTAACACGTCGCCGGCGGCAGTTAGTGGTTCTCCTGCAAGCACAAATGTCTTCAGGTCTACTGTGCCTAATACGTCTCCAATACAGCAACCTATACTTGGCAGCCAACCCGCTTTTGGTCAAACTCCTGCTTTTGGCGCCAAGCCAGTGTTCGGATCGTCACCCATCTTTGGTGGATCGAAACCCGTTTTTGGAGGTAGTGGTTTTGGCTCACCCCCTACATTTGAGTCTCCTAGCATAGGTAAATAAATAGTTGATATTATTATAACATTCTCAAAATGTGAATATATATAGTTTATGTACCTATTTTTGAAGAACAAAATATAAAAGACCTTTCCTATGTATTTTATAGCTCTTTTAACTTCAGCTCAAATGCATAGATATAATGTCTGAGTAGTCTTATAAAAAATTCCATATGGCATAATTACATTATCCTGCATCTATTGTTTATAATAAGAAAATGTTATAAATAGGATTTGGAAGTCCATCTACTATGCAAGCTGGCTCTACAATGGAAAATATGCCAAAAGTATTTGGAGAAGTGACAGGCAGCAGTACATTCGAATCTTTAGCCAATCAATCAGGTGGTCTCAGTTTCGGTAGCTTAGCTCAGAAGAATCCAGAACCAGAGAAACCAACATTCACTGCGTATGTAGTAACTTTTGCACCAATAAATTTTCGATCAAGTCAAAATAATAATAAAAAGATACAGAAATAATTTTGCAAATAATAAATAATCATTTTATTTCAGCGGCAGTTCGTTTTCCAGTTGGAGATGAATAAAATATGGTATTGCGGCAGATTACTTTCAAAACTGTCATAGCAGAATAGAAAATTTCTATTGAATGAAGAATTATCAAATTACAATCGTGTATATACAGTTTTACATTCAGAAAGATGTACTTTTTATGGGAAAAAAATCATTCTATCATGTCTTATACCTTGTAATAAATGAGAACAAATTTAGGTTTTACAATAAAGTATTTTTAATTAAATCGAGAAATTAACTCTGATCGATATTATAAATTGAATTTGAGTGAAAATCATAATGCAGCGCGCGCCAGCTCTCATATTAAATATAAATGAATTAAACATAACTGAATGAAAGTTACGATTTCTTTCTTTAGTGAATATCCATTATTATTACATTAATTTTATTCTTTTATCATATTTTTTATTCTTTTAGAATTTAGTTTATGCGCGTCATATAACAAGAAACAAGACTGGAGAAAACAAAATTAGATTTTTTATTTTACCACTGTTCCAAGTTATTCAGAACATTCATTATCCTATTCTCTGTTTTTCAGTGTTTAGTGACATTCAGATGATTAAAATTTTATTTAGGCTATTTGCAACAAACATCTTGATCTCTCTTGTTATCTCACATGATGATATCACAATGATTTCTCTCAATATATAAAACGACAAATTTGTTTAAATTACATATTTTATTAACAAATTAATTCTTTGCATCAAGTATTAAATCTTGATCTACAAAGATACGTATAAATTAAATGATCAAAAAATATTAAATGATTATTACACAATGATGTAATCATATGCTCCTTTTGATGGCTTTCGGTGCAATTGACACTTTGATAGGTTTACACAAATCAATCACGCATGGATCATCTAAAGGTGGATGTGTGCAAATCGATGATGAAGGTAACAGCAATGCTAAAGAAATTTCTACATTACAAGGCTCCATCCACACTTGATGCGATAATAGAACTGTCGTCCTCAATCTGTAATCTTTCTGATCGGACTGTTGCATACGCAGATCTGACTGTCGCGGTAACAGTAATTGCACTTGTTGATCCGGATGTCTCAGCTTTATTCGCAGAGTAGAGGAATCACGTAGATTCAATATTTTGGCGTTTAAGGGAATTCCCAGCAAAAGACCACCCGTGAATTTTAGTGCAGCATCGGCATCGCCTCTCGGTTCCTCGATGTGTGCTCGACAAAAGCGCGTCGTCGCTGATGGTCTCGGTAATCGCTCTTCCCCCTGTACTACAGGCGTCAAAAGCAATGGCAACAAAAGCCGCGTTAAGGAACCCGGTTTCACGTCCGCCAAAGTGGGTATTTGTAGAACTAAAGCCCTGGAGAACGGTGGTAGCCTTGATGTATCTTGAGGTAAAGCGTCAGCTTTAGGTAGGAAATAACGGGCCAGTGGTAATGCGCTGCCGGTAGCACTTTCGGTCACCCTAACTAATTCTATAGCCAGTGCTTTCAACCACATATCATTAGCCAATATAATATCATTTTCATTTAATCCACTAAACAAACGTTGTAATCTAGAAAATGGTAAGTATAATTTTATTAATTTTTCTTATATAATCTTTTATATATTATTAGTAAAATTGTATATATATCAAAACGATTTCTTTAATACATATTAAAGGTATATACTTTTGTGTATGTTGAAGAAGGATGAAAATATTGTTGTTAGTATTTGGCACTGGATTCGCCGAAATAGACGTCGTCGAAGACACAGAACATTCTTTGAGGACAGACTTCAATAGCAGCAGGCATCGAATATACAAGGCGGTGAAACGTGCCGCACCTTCCATGTGATGATCCATCTCTGCCATACGATCAAGATCAATGGCTGCAGTTTCTAAAAGCTGCGTATGAACTCTTCCTCCTGGTCTAGCATTCTCGATTCCAATTCCCATCTTCTCCAAGAACTCTCGACCACGTTGATCCCTGTTCTCTTCATTATTCATATCTTCCATTTTGATTCCTGAACTAGTAAGTGCTGGTCGTAATCGCGGAACTAGATGAGGCATAGTGTCGCGCAAATAGTGATAGTGTTTAGAAGCATGCTCTGTAAATAGAGCGTGCATACTTGGACAGTGTAATGCTGCGTTGAAGATTAAAACAAGTACACTTGCATCTGTTATAAAAAAGTTAAGGACATTGCAACTTTAAAATTTAAGACTATTTACATAACGAGAATTGATATAAAGGATACAGGATGGTTCATCCACATCTGGCTCAGGTGTGTCGAAGAAAGGATGTCGGCCAAGAAGTTGTGGTACTAGAGGTAACGTTAAGTACGGATGTGATGCGCCTAATTCTGCTAAACAATTCCTGATACTCTCCCTGTCCTGAGGATACCGAGTTAAATTATCTAGCAAACGATTAACGCACATATAACGACAATTTGTGGTAGCGAGATGACTAGCAGCTAGCATAGCGTGCAAGCCTTCTCTCACTTCTCCCGAGAAATCTTCCAAAGCGCCTAAAATTGTTTCCAATTGGTCCTCTTGAAGAGTTACACTTGACGACATTTTCTTTAAAGATTCGATAGCTCTTAATCTGACATCCTGAATCTCATCGTTAAACATATCCACCATAAAGTCCAATGAAATTCTAGATATACTCGGTTGTTCTAACGAAAGTGTACAGAGTGCTTCAACTGCTGCTGTTCTTACCTAAATTTTTTTTCAAAAAATGAAAAATTTATTTTCAATCGATATGAGAAATGATCATAGAAAAAAAAGTTCAATTATGATTAAACTGTTTTTAAGCTTAACTACAATTACAAACTTGAAAAAAACATGAAATATAATAAACTTGATTCACAGGATAATCTAATAAATATTATAAAAAATTCTCTATTATTTTATGTAACGCGATAAATTCATACCTCTAAAAATTCATCTTCTAAACCATGAATGAATGCTCCACAAGATCCACTTTTCTCTTCAACTTCGGGTCTGTCTGCTTCAATTACTTTTTGTTTTTTATCTAAGGCTTGTTCTATGTAGCGACGTGACACACTTTTCATGGTTCCCAAAAGGGACATTGCAGAAGCTCTAACACGAGGTGATAAATCACCCATAAGACTGCAAATTTGTGAAAAAGCACAGTCTACCATTCGTACATCCTCTCCATCAGATCCAACAATGATACTATAATGTATAAAAGAAACACAAAAAAAAGTTCATTGTAAGATTTTATTTTTAAAATATGTTTATATTTATGTACTGACTTTTCTGGATACTCTCGGCCTAAAAGATAGATAAGTTTAAGAACAGCTCGGCGTACAATTTCATAATCATCGCCAAGAGCTGCGCAGGCTTCCTTGAAAAAACTCGCAGGAAGTCTACAACCTCTATGAGAATGTAATTCTGCCATGGTTTCGAAAGCTTGAGCACGAACTCGTGGATCTTGAGAGCGGGCATAATTGCCAATTAATGTTAAGGTATCATCAGCAGTGTTTGCAGTTAGATAACGCCCGATAATCGAAAGACATCGCGTTTGAACACCATGCCATGTGTCAGGCAAATGTTCCTGTGCAATCTTCAATACCAGTGCTCTAAAAATACAAAAATATTTCTTCTCATTAATTTATCAATAAAAAAAATGTTTTTACTTTATTAATTAAAGCAAATATTTAAATTATAATAGCAAATATATATATGCATAAAAATGATATCTTAAAGAAAAAGAGATACAATAACATTTAAGATATGTACACCTTTGATAATCTCCTAACTTTAACAATGTTGCTAATCCCTGACTTTTCACTCTGTGTGATTCCTCATTTCTCAAAAGTTCAGCTGTTTCATTCACAATTTTCGCCTTTTCCAAAGTGTCAGGCGTTACTTCTCCCAATTCGGCGAACACCCAGAAAATCTTGGCTCTAACTGCAATTTCATTTTCAACAACAAATCTCTCCGCTAACTTCTTTATAGCAATGGGAACGTCCTCTGGCGCTATATACGCTATAGCATCCGAAATACGAACAAGCAATTGCAACGCATCATTTCCACTTTTACATTTCTCCAAGCATTCTATGTAAGCTAATGCTGAGCTACTGTCAGTACCATTCTTCGAACCAGACGTCGATAATAACCTTAGAGTCTTTAGACGTTTGACTGGAGGCTCATTAACAATCTAAGTAACAAATTTGTTAAAATAATAATTTAAGTAGCTATGCTTTATAAATAGAAAAGAATATATGGTATGACATTACCGCCTGGCTCTGATTAAATTCAGCTAGAACTCGTTTTTTTATTAAAGCTGCCATTCTCAGGACAATGTCTTATTTCATTATGAATTTAAGCACTATCTCTTCTCAGCTTAATCTATAATTCTGACATGATATTTTGATAGACCCGCAATATATGTGATATAACCTCAATGCATTGCCATGAAAAAATATATATATATTGAGACACACACACACACACACACACACACATACCCACACCACACAACATCACATTTGATATGTAGTATTGCCAACTTTAGTAGAGATGCACAATAAAAAACTAATACACCACTAATGCAATTCGGTGTGTAAATTGGAGTGTAATGCCTGGTTTATGCTTCGGTTTTAACCCTAAAATCCTAAAATTCAGCCAATGGAATACAGATTTCCGTTAGGACCAATTAAGACTGGTAGCCCTATTGGCTGAATTTTAAGATTTTAGGATTAAGACCGAAGCATAAACCAAGCATAAATCGATTTAAATATTTTCAGTTTAACAAAAATTTAATTTTTTAAGGTTTAATGAGATAATCAACGTGATAAGAAAAACTATGTAATTAAGGCTGCGGTCTACTTGACGCTACAAAACGCTTCGAAGCATTCTTTGATTAGTCAATTCACAAAATTCTTTGTTCTGATTGGTCGCTCAAACGCTTCGAAGCGTTTCTAGCGTCAAGACACTCAGCGTGCATATCAGTGACAGCATTAATTTTCTTATTGGAAAATGTTACAAGTTGAATCGAGAATTAATCTACTTTCAATCTACAATACAATTAATCTTTTTCCGATTCTAGAATTCTAATAAGTTGAACCTCTCGATTAAGAGCTAACTATGAATTGTAGGACTGGACTTAAACAGTATTGATCGATAAATTAATTGGTCGCGTTCAGCAGACTCAACTGTTGTGGAGCGGATCCGTGAGCGCTCACTGCTATTGGTGTATTCTTTTAGATCATCCAATAGCAGCGAGAGCTCATTGATCCGCTCCGCAACAGTTGAGTCTGCTGAACGCGACCATTGAAATCAATTTGGACAGTTTGAATTTGCGTCAAATGGCTCCAGAAAAATCAACAAGAATGACATCTTGACTCGTTGTAGTCAATGCACCATCTGTCGATCCCTGTCGTTGGCAACAGATTTAAAACGGTTCTTAAATACAGTTGTCCACTGTTTCGCGTGCGAGTTCGTACTGGTTCGTGCAAGGCATTGTCTCATTCCTGTGCGTGATGTCGGTGTCATCGGTGAAATAAGAGAGTAGGACGAACATGGACGGCTTGTATTTTACTTATTCATTGCTACGTTTACTTTCTACGGTGATTTAAGAAATGGAACACAGCTTCCTGCAGAGGCGTCATTCGGGTTACCGAGTCGAGGACGATTCCGTGATCATCTCGGACAGCGAGGAGGAGGTTGATAATTCAAGGAAGAACGACCAACAAATAATCGATGAAAGCGTAGAGATCGATGATGATGCCGATAATTCTATCGAGGATACGACACCGAGGAAGTAAGCATTCTATCGATGTGAAACCATATTATGCTATAATATGTTATATATTATCGAAAAATTACAATTTTTTTTTCTCTGCAGTTATGATCTCTATTGATTGTTAAACTCGGATGATGACATTAAAATCACAGTTTTGAATAAAAATCGAGTATTATATTAATAAGTTTTAAACATATATACATATCTACGAAACTAATAAATCATGAAATTAGTACCGTATTGTCAGTTTAATCACTTAAATTTTAACAGTCACGCGAACTTCCATAAAAATCAGCCGTCTTTAATAGCATCTTGTCGATATAAACTATCAAGGATAAATTAACCTTGATGTCGAGATATTGTACGTGAAGATAATCCATGTTTGTTTTGAAACAAAAGAATCGTCTGACGATCGGCGATTGCCTTGGTTGTGATATATTGCTATAATGCGTATGAATTTTTCGAAACGGTACTGATTGGTTGCCCCCACCATTCCATCTTCGATTTCGTTTGTCGAATTTTCGTCATTTATTCTTTAATGCGGGGTCTACAATGGCTACGTTTACACCGTGCGCTTAGTCCGCGACCTATACGATAGGTATCTTTGTTCAATATACAGGATAAACAAGGACATCTATTGTATAGGCCGCGGTCTAAATGCACGGTGTAAACGTAGCCAATAGA